CCGCCCCAATCGGGGCGGGTACGGCAGCCATCACATCTACGTGGGTCCCACTCGGCCTCCAAGACCTGACAGCCATTTGCACAGGGTTTGCCACGAGCCTCCGAGCTCCGGTTCACATGTTCAGTTGTGGAGGAAGATGCTCTGGTCCTCCGCCGACCCGGCACGGGGGATGGCTGGGGGCAGGAAGGACACTCTCCCACCCAGCTATTCTTCCGAGGTTGGTGATGGCTTTTCCCATGATCTGATTTGCAGACTAATAAAAAATAAGCTCGGGAATGAGGTACCGCAAATGCAGGATGGCCCTGAAGAATACCCACCAGGAACAGGATGCAGTCAAATAAACAGCCGAAATGTTTGCACTTGCAGCCTTTGCCGGGGCAGCGACACGGATGAACCCGAGCTGCAAGATCGGGAGGTGAAATCAGATATTTTGGGGATGGCCGAAGCTCGTGGGGCAGAGAGGAGGAGTGGTGCAAGGGGAACTGGAGGGTGCAAAGGCAGCGCGGCGCTGGGAAAGGGGGTTTGTTGGGCACCACCAGGGACATGCCACTACGGATACGTTGCCTTTCCGGGCAGAGATTGGGGGAAAATGGGCATAAATGATGGTTGACCCTGCATGAGTGTCAGGCAGCGCCTTAAATCAAGTGGAGAAATGCATGGAGGTGGAGGCTGAGTCCAAGGGCACGAGGTTCAACCCAGCCAGGGGATGGCTGAGGGCAGCAGACCTGAGCTAATGTTTAGCTTTGGACTTTGCCAAGTTGTCCAAGGGGCAAAGGAGGACGAGGACAGGAGACCTGTGCGGGGCGGAGGGCGGCTGTGAGCCAGCACGGTGCCCAGGGCGCAGCCCACACAGCCACGGCCGCTCCACGAGCTCCGGCTTGGAAGGGTGTGATTCCTGGGGGTAATTTCTACCGGTTTGGTTCCAGTTGGGTTCTGGGTCAGCAGGAGGACATTTGCTGACGAGGCCCTGCTGAGCTCCCCTGTTTAGCTCAACTCTTCATATAAAGCTCAGACCTTCCTGAGTTCTTTTATTCCCGGCACACCAGGCGCCAGCGGGGCGTTTGTAAGGGCTGCTCTAAGGGGATATCACCGTGGAAAGGGCGAGAAGTCTGGTGGCATCGCTGACAAGGCTGCAAATGTGTCCCCAGTGGTGGCAGAGGGCTGAGTACGTCCCACTAGCCTGGATAACCAGCCCTGGGAGGCGCCTTGTCTCTATTTAAACCCCTCTCTTCTGGGATGTTATTAAGGACGCATCTATTAAATTGCTGTGTGTCACTTCAGCGCGGCTCGTCCCCATCACCACCCACGGTCCCCGGGCAGCTCTCATTTGGCCATGGCCACGTGTTTCCTCTCCATCCGCATCACCTTTACCCGGCAGCATCGCAGCATCAAACATTTTGAGTTTTGCCTTGCCGGGATTTTGCGCAAGTAACATTTTCCAATCCTAGATTATTCTAATGACACCGCCGGAGAGCTAAAAATAGGAGAAAGGCATTTTCTGCTTCTCCCCCACCAGCCACTGCCGGGAGCGCGGGGATGGCGCCGGCAGCGGGAGCCTCCGAGGTGTTTGCGGAGAGCGTTTGGAGAGTATCACACCTCCCCTTTCCTTTCCCAGCCGTGGATCTTTAAATATCTGGCCCAAATCCACACGAGCCTGTAGTTGCTTAACTCTTTGTTTGCATTCAAACCAAAAGGAAATTGGGCACCTAAACAGGGCTGGCCGAGGAAATGGGGACCTCCCGGCTACCGTGGGGCTCACAGCGCCCACCTGCCCCATCCCACTCAGCTTCTTCTCATGCCACAGCCCTTGGTGGTCACCAGGTCCTGCGTGCAGTGGAAAAGGCCGTGAGCCAAGGCAGGAGAGCAACCTCTGAACCCATGCTGCTCTCCCAAAATGGGTGCAATCCCCCCAAAATGATGCACATACCAAAAAAGCGATGCCCTCTCCGAACACCAGCCATGTTGGATTTGGCACGTGAACACGCTTGGCATGGTGAAGCAGCAGCCGGGGGACGGCAGAGCCATCCTCTCCGCCATGGATGTCCCCATGAGGAGGGTTTTGGGGGCACACGGAAGGGGGTGGAGGCAGCCCCAAGGCATGGGTGCGCAGGGATGTGCTGCTTCCCCAAATGTGGCTTTTTGGAGCTGCTTCCTCCCTGCCGCACGCCCGGCTGCCGGATTTACCTCTCCCTGATGGCATCTCGCTCATGAGATCATACTCTGCGCTGGTTTGGGAGTGGCGGATGAGCCGGTGTTAGTGGGAGGCAGAGCCCAAAGCCCCTCCTGGGACATCCCACCAGGCGTGAAGGCGTTGTGTTTCCTTCCACCCATGATTTTGTTTTCAGGGTGATGCTCATGCACATGCTGGGTTATTTTTCTGTTTTATTTCTATTTAGGGCACCTTATGAGATCCTGCGCTCACCATGGGTGGCTGGAGCTGGGGAACCTGCAGGAACATCAGGACATTGTGCCTGTGCACGGCCTCACTGGCCCTGGGAGGCAGCTGCATGGCAGCCAGGTCAAACCTGTGCTGCCAGACTGCACAAGGGGGGTGAAATGTGTGGCTGCGGCCAAATCACCTCCCAAAAATGGGCAGTAACAACTTCAGACCAGATGCCCAGAGCCCCGCAGTGGGACAAGGTCTGTGCATCACCCTGGGCATGACAACTGGTCCCAGCACGCAGGCAAGGATGTGCGTGGTGAGCTGGGGAGCAACCATGCAGATCAGGGGCATCTCCATCGCCATCAGGGACACAGCTGCAGGGCAGGTCCTGACCAGAGGCAGATGAAACCCTGCACAGAAGCCGGGATCCAGCTGGAGCTGAGCCGGGGGAGCACTGGGCTTCAGAGGCTGGTGGGAGTGGGAGGAGAAGCGGCCAACTCCAGCCACCGCGGAGGGGA